TACATCTCTGCATCTTTCACTCGTCAATTTTGACAGGAAATCTCATACTGCTTTCTTTTTATTCCTTCGTGGGTAAAAGGGGATTGCTTGTATTTTTTGCCTGCTTTTTTTATCACTTTTCAATTTCCAGAACTCGTGAAATTTTGATAAGAATTTGAACTTATATTTGAAATAACTCTAATTCAAAATATGTTTTATCAGCTATATAGTAGGCAAATTTGCAGGCAGCTCTACAAGTAATCCTTTCTACTCGTTCGTTCCATAATTTTGGTGCCTACATTTTTCAATGTTTGTTGTTCCATGCCTTTTCTTATTCACTTTTCCATTGTCTTCATCACAAGGATTCTCACTCTATGCGTGTGTTTACAGCTAAGGGATGAAAAAAAACACAGACTGCTCTCCATTGGTATATATATACCCATTATCCCCGTTGTTAATGTTTTGATTTTTTTTTTTTTTTGTAAACCATCATCGTAAAAATCTTTTTCGGAACTGGAAAATACTGGAGTTAAATAGCCTATGATATGAGAATATACAAAGGCTTTTGTTCGGCGTTCTGTAGCACTTTTCTTTATTGGTATTTTAGATTACCGTGCCGAATAGCCCTTCTTGGCCATTGGCGGAAAGCTTGATCCGACTTTTTAAGACACTGTTATGCTTTAACACAGTTCTTGAGAAAAGCTAAGTACAAATCTAACCACTGGACTGGGAATTGGCCAGGTTTCTTCTCGAAAAGTAAGTCAGACCAGAATTCCTTCCAGGATTTAAGGATTCTTCCTTGCTTTTTGCTTTGTTTCTGGTGAATACCCCTACCTGGTATGCTCAGTCGAGACAAGGTTATAGTCGATAGTGATATGTAAAGCTGAATTTTCTCGCTTATAAATTAGTAACATCGAAAGTTCCACATTGGTACTTAGGGCCGTTTTCAGGACATACTGTTATTGAAAAGAACAAAAGAACAGCTGAAGGAAGCCTGTCTTGAGAAAATAATATAATACTAAGAATAATAGGACCGCCGAGCAGTTAGTGTAGGTGTTTTTTCCAGTTAGTATCTTCCGCTTGTTTGATGCTTTATAAGATCAGCAAGAGCAGGGTTTGAGCCATTCTTTAGGAAAACATGCAAATAAGCGGTCTGTGTTTCATCCCTTAGCTGTAAATACAGACAAATTAATAGGTGCAAGTAGAAGTGGGAATCATCACTACAGCCTCCTACCACCCGTGTAGAATTTCTTTTATATGTTACTAAAAATGGTTGTTCTTTTTCTCGTCGATTCTCAAATTCTTCACTTTGTTTTGCTCACTGACCCGATAGTTAATTCTGTTAACACGGTGCCTTTCGTTAACACTCTTTCCGTAATGTTTTCGCTGTTGAAATTTTGTGCAGTAATTCGCTGGAGATTTTGTATTCTACAGCATCCAGAACTTGTTCTCCTTGAATTTTTTGCTCCATTTGTTTTTTCCTTGGATCTCAGCCTCACCACATTCTCACTTTGTTTTTAGTGCTGGAATTGTTATTTTGTCCGAATTCTTCTTTATGGTACTTACTAGCTTCTTTTACCCTTTTTCGTGTTTCCATTCAGATATGATTTACTTTATTTTGTCAGTCTTGGTGCTTATATACCCGGCCTTACAATCTCATTAACGTGAGTTTCAGGAAGCGGGATTTTTCAACTCCCGGTCTGTTTTCTCTGTTGAGCTGGTAATTTTTGCTTTTCACTTGTTTGGCTTGAATTTTCCCCGAAGATTATCTCTCTCGTTCATTTTAGTGTCGTTGAAATAAACCTGTATATAATTGTTCAGTGTTTTCAACTCACAATCACATATCGCAACTCAAAAATTTGAGACTCAGAGAAGTTTTCAAATTTTTTATGAGAAAAATTTCAGCCAGACAGAGGAATTACTGAATTTTTTCAACAGCTAGAATATCCAGTAAAAAAAAAACAGCTTATAAAGAAAAAGTGGTATACGTCGGAGGATCGATGGGAAACAGGCGTTCATGCAGTCGGATTTTGAGGGAATTTTTCAAAACATGCAAAAAACGATGCTTTTTTGGCTTATCTGGTTGATAGTGAGCTACAAAATTTTTTATTACCTTCCCTTTTGTGTTTCGGGGATGTAATATCTGGTTGGATTTAGACCTCGGATTATGAAGCAGGACAAGCCAAACTCTGAAATCCGGTTTCAGGACATATCGTATAACAAATTGAAGCTTTCAAGTTTTCAAGCTTTTTTTCCGGGTTATAAATTTTTGAGCTTTATTTCAGAGGCCAGATCAAATTTTCGGACAAACTGAGCCTAAAAAGCAATTCCAGGCCTATCAAATCATCGAGATTTTCACTGCATATTTTAACTTATTCCAGGAGTTCAAATTTTCTTCCATGTATTTTTGAGATGACTTGTTCGAGCCCGTTTTTTCCCGCTTTCTTAAGCTCCCCGAATTCCGCTCCTGCACTTGCTCATGAAAAAAAATAATGAAGTAGTTTCGCTTTTTCTCGTACATAATAACTAGGAGTATCCCAAACTTGTCACCGTCAGCATCATCATCGTCACCATCATCTGCACT